GAGGAATCTAATCCATTGGACCTGTCTGTCCTCAGTTACCGTGTACCTATAGTCCCTCATCCATCTAATATCCCAGAGACCGTATATCGAACATGGTGCTGTCAGACCCATACGGTTTCTACTCGAGTCTCGCACTAATCGGATTCTCCCGGAGAACTCTTTCTTTCTCAACCCGAATGACCCTGGCCTGGGATTTGTTTGAGCATGAACACATGAGATATTCCTCTCATGACGCCGAGAGTGGATGATCCTCTATCGACACTCAATAGCCCTCGTAAGGTCGACTACCACTCCCATTGACCAGCTGTACTAGATATGGGACAGTCAAACATATAAGTCTGGTATCAAAGAGTGGAAAACTCATATAGGACATCCTTGGTGTCTCAAGTCTAAGGACCAGATATACCATTAGGACTACGAAATCGCTGTCTGACAATAAGGCATCATCAACCATCCAGCATTCCGTAAGCGAATCAATCAGTGAACTCATTCTCCAATGAGCACTTGTACTGTATCCCTAGTGTCCCTACACGAGCAGTTATGAGACCAGCTGCATCCATCATATGGACGGGTATACAACACACCAGTCTGTCCGATTATCACGATGTCCCTCTCGAGTAACCTATGACCGGGATTATTTAGGATCTGTGTTAAAGGTGAATCGATCTCATTATCGTGATCTCATCACGATCCGATTCCCATTGTACAAATCCAAAGACATCACAATATATATATGCACATATGCAATAGTTATAAAGTGATATATGCCAAAACATAATAAGCAAAAAGATTATGTATCAAGTCACACGTGTCATCACTCACGTGATTGACTTGTTGGGCACCTATGACTAGCAAAACTTTGGTGGAGAACCCGTTGGGAGAAGATCCAATAAGGTCGGTGTCAAGTTGACATATAGGAGGACTTGAAGCGGGAGTTGAGAACTCAGTTCCTACCGGAGAACACCGAGTTTGTCGCAAGAAGGAAGCTGGGACAACTCCACCAAAATACTTTCATCTGAGACTACGTGAAGTAATTTTCTACGCTAAAGCTAGACATCCAAGACATGTCCGAGAAGGATAAGTTGTTCAGCTTCCTTGATGGTCTGAAGCCATGGGCGCAACAAGAACTACATCGAAGGAATGTCACTAATTTGATCGGGACAATTGCTGCCGCAGAAAGGCTCACCAACTTCATTTCCTTTGAAGACCCGGCAAAAAGGAAGCAATCTTTAGGCAATCGCCCGCCAAAATATTCTCGAGGGAAGGAGCTCGGGGGCGAACAAAGGAAGAAGAGTTACCACAAAGGGCAAAGCCCGAAAGGCAAGGCCCCGAAACCTGGAGGATGCTTCTTGTGTGGAGGGCCACACATGGTGAGGGAGTGCCCACAAAAACAGGCACTCAATGCTTTAACAGCTTCCATCCACACCCCCCTCCCCGATCGGACAAGGGCAAAGCTGTCACTCTTAGTTCGAGCAGTTATGAATCCAGTAGCAATGATGAGGAGTCGCAAGGACCCCGGATGGGAGCAATGCATTTGTTGAATGTCATGCGGGGTCAAGTGGGGGAGAGCACGAAGACAAAGCTACAAAAAAACAGATAGTGGTGAGCTGATGAGATCATATGAGTCATTATAGTTTATGCCATGCCATTACTTAATCATCCATGCTTGCAGAACTATTGTGTTCTTTTATGATGCCGACTATTACTGCGAGGAAAAAAAGAAAGAAAACGAATGTATTTATGTCTAGATTTTGGTAGATTTGGCAATATAATGCCTAGGCTTAACCATTTGATTTGGGGAAAGCTTGGTTGACACCTTCGGTAATGGATTCCAGGTCACGGACATGCAGCATTACGATGCTTGGATCGCTCGGATTTGAAGAACAAGACGCGAAGATATTCGCCTCATGGGTGTGATTCATTCTCCTCAAGGCCTTCCATAAAAAATATAGACTAATCTGTGCTTTCTTTCTGCCATGCTTTAAGCACTTTGAGCTTGTCTTTCTTTAGAAGGTCGATTACTTGAAGTATGCCCCGGTAGTAGTCCACAAGAAAGGTGATGGTCTAATTCGTCGCCATGAGAAGTTCTTGTTCATAGCTCGATGCACCGCTCACAGGTACAGTAGGATGAGCGACACTCTTCAGAAGTGCGGGAGGAAGATCTTCTTCTCTTTGTGTGAATGGTGGGTTTTTATGTTTGCATGGAGTGCTGCTGCGATGACTTGGGCATGGCTTTCTCTGAGAACAAAGCACATGGATCACAGGGGTCAAGATAACCCAGCAACTTGGGCGAGCAGCCTAGGAAACAGTTGGAGGACGACCGGAGACATCGAAGACAATTGGAACAGGTCCCTGTTGATCACCTTGAAATCAGATTCTTTCGCGTGATTCAGCAACTAAAATTTCATGTCTTAGCAGCATGACATCAATCGCCGATGAGAACGACAAGTGGGCTTCCTATGCAGGACTCGGTGGATGGAATGGTAAGTCACGATGCATCAATAGCGGATGCTTAGCAGATTGAGATAGAGCTGGTGGTGTAGATCCTGACATGCTCGAAGTTGGAAATGGTGGGATGACGACAGAGGAATACCGAACCCATTTCAGCATATGGGCATTGATGAAGGTGCCGAAGGAGCTCGTAATCCTCTGTTTTGCTAGTTTGAAGAGCAGAGGAAGGAGTCTGAAGCTTGTTCTTTCGATCATTGCAGGCTCCTCTATTGATCGGATGCGATGTTCGGTCGATGAGAAATGAGAGCCTAGAAATTCTTGGCAACTCAGAGGTCATCGCCGTCAATCAAGGTCAACATCCGACAAATCTTTATATATATCCTGTTGCTTTCTGAGCCCTAAATACCTTCGTGGAAACCATATCGAATAGACAAGCTCGGAGTTCAAGGGAAGAAGGTGGTGGGGGGAGGCGACGGAGAGGTAAATAATATATGCTTATTATTTATTCTGATTATTTAGTGATATTATAAATTACGTAGGTGTGGTGCAGTCCACTTAGACGTGGGAGGGTGGCGGTGGTGATGTGGAACAGAGGATCTTCGCCGGCGTCCATCATCGCAAAATGGACGGACGTCGGCCTGCAACCATCCGTTATGGTCAACGCTCGTGATCTGTGGGCGGTGAGTGTTCTTCCTTTGTGCTTCCGTTGCGATGGACGAGCGCTCACGTCGATTTGTTTCCCAGCATCAAACTACGAGTTCCGTGAGAGAGCGGCGCAGTGGTGGACCCTCACGCTTGCAAGATGTACGTGTTGACTCCCAAGTAGGAGAGGAGACCTGCACTTCTCCGAACCGCGCTATATTATTATGTCTCCAAGCATCAGAATAAGAGTGCTCCAACATATGATTGCAACTCGATAGTGATTTCTTAAGCTTTAATGTAATTATGTGTCAAATCAACCGGATCATCGGTTAGCACCACATTAATGTCATATCATTCATAACTTATGGATCAATGTGTTCATGCATAACTTGCACATACGCACGCCCAAAGCATGTACTGTTGGGTTCACTTTAGGCATTCCTGTGTCGTCGTCACTCGTGATGACGTCAAAATCATATAGAATTAGAATCTACGGCTTGGTGGTTCTCTAATTAGAGCATTAGTTCTTAATTTTACTCTTATTTATTAGCAAAATATTTTTATAAAGAGATAAAAAGCATTTTATCATCGAATATTTGATTCAAGTACTAAATTCACTCGCTATCGCTCATGGCAATTGACTAAAATGAACCGTCTAGATCGCCATGTTGATATTTGCCCCCATCGAATACCCTCACATGCCTTACATAAATTATATAAATACATAAAATAATATGTGATTTCTTTGAAAAAGGTTACTTTTTTTTTCTCTACAAGATTTTCTATTTTTTAATTTTTTTCAAATAGTGCTTTTATTTTTTAATTCCATAAATATCCTTTCTTCTCTTTTCCTTCTCCATCATGAATAAAATTATAAACATGACGTTCGATATAATGCTTATGTATGTTTGTATGATTATGCTTTTATATGGTAAGTAGAAGACTTGCAGTAGATTTAGCAGTCTTATTTTGGTTAACTTTTTGATCGTTTCAAATTTATAAATAAAAATTATTTACAATCATCGCATAGAAATAAAATTGTTCAGAAATAAACTATCTAGGTAGCTATTTTGAGAGTTTTATAATTCTATAAAATGGTACGAAGTATTAGCTAATATGACACCTAGGAGCTACCCGAGTGGCATATGATTCGATAGGCATTTGAGATAGTGTGTAGGACTGGTTCATTATTTTATTATGTAGTAGTGTTATGTGAATACTTATGAGGACATATGATCATGATAGATTGCCTTGAACCTCTGTCACGTAATCACTCAAAACTTATAAAATCTATATTTAAAATTTATATTACTTATTAAGTATTTGTTAAAATTACTACTTATGAGATATTCTATTTAAACACTTTCTTGTCTTCTATTTTGTCGGTCCTTAAAAAACCATAAGAGATTTTAAGGAGGCTAATACTCTTGTGGATTGACACACAAGAGTACCACATAATTTAGACAAAATCAATTAAGTCTGTAATATTTCATCGCCTATATCACCTGTAACCTTGCTTACGTTGCGAGGCCTAGTTGCTTTTATACGATGCCCTTCTCCACCTGTCACCTCCACCCTTGCCCCCAACATGAGATCGCCTCTATTTGATGTCCTTTCCACCCATTATGCCTATTGCATCCATTTTCTCCACCGCTCTACTCCCCATAAATCACGCTCACCTTTGTGTGCTCGTGAGATTAGTGAGAGAGAAGAGATGATATTCATAGAATTAAAAAAAACATAAAGATACTATATGAAAACAATAGAAATAGGAGCATAGAAAAATAAATGAAAAAGTAATTTTTTTAAAAAAGAAAAATCGTCCTAAAATAAAAACCACAATATTTTTTTTCATAAATATAAAAGCCCAACGGGGGAGATTTTTTGGTGTCTTCCGGAAACGGCAGGTAAAAAACTCTTCCTGCCACACCTGAATTGGGTCGATAGATAAGAGGAGAGAGCAGCAGGAGTAAGATCCATCGAAGTGGCCTGGAAGCGATGGCTCTCCTCCTCAACTCATCCTTGATTCCCGTGAAGGTGAGAGCGCTTAATCTTCAAATTTCATCTGTTCCCCTTTGTGTTTCTATATGAAGTTCGGAATCTCTCTTGGCAGTGGGAGAAGAAGTTCATTTCCAACCCTCTCATCCCATCTTCTTCCTCTTCTGATAACAACAAGAGCAAGCGGAAGTCTGCAGTCGCTGTCAAGCGAATCCAAGCCTGCCTTAACCCATTCGAGGATCCCATCCTCAAAGATGCCCTCAAGGTATTCGACATTTTATTCCCTTTGCCGTTGGTTGGGAAGAAGAAAGGGGGAGTTGGTGTGCAAGGACAAGATTGACCCCTTGGTTGCTCCTTATCTTCCAGGAACCGGTGGCCTTCATGGGCGGGGTGTTTGCTGGCTTTCTGAGGCTCGATCTGAACGAGGACCCGCTCAGGGACTGGATCTCGAAGACGGTCGAAGCTTCCGGAATCGCCGCCGACGGTGAGATCGATGCGGAAGGGGCCGAGGTGGAAGCCGAGGATGATGCTCCTCGGCAGATCGAGATCGAATAAGGTCTCCGGTTTCTTGATTCCATGTTCTTAATGGAGTATTGGTTATATTATTACCTTTCCGTGAACTTATCGATGGTCTAGAAATGAGATCGAACCTATTTCAGTGATAGGGGAAATACTGATACCGCTGTGGTCAGATATTTGTTTGTTGAGAAGACGGGCCGGAGTATAAGATCCGGATCCGTTCCGATAACAGAACCGACTTCTTTATTATTATTTACTATTATTGATTTTTCTGGAATAAATTAAGTGTTTCCATGGCCGTCAATACTCCGTCTTTACACGAAGGACCCCGACGCGTTTGCTTACACGAAAAGTCGCCCCTCTTCCCTTTCCGTTCGCCGCTCTGTTCCTCGCACCGTCTCCTCCCCCGATCCATCGATCTCCTCCTCTTCCTCATCCATGGACTCCAAGGTAGTCATCGCTTTCGTCCTCGTCTTCGACGTTGTCGCCTTCGCCCTCGCCATCGCCGCCGAGCAGCGCAGGAACACGGTGGGACATCCCGACGATCCGATCCCAATCTGCCTCCCGATGCTAACTTCTGAACCCCCAATTACCTTTCCGCAGGCCCAGGTGGTGCCGGACTCCGAGAAGGAGTACACCTACTGCGTCTACGACTCCGACATCGCGACGGGGTTCGGCGTCGGATCCCTTCTCCTCCTTCTGCTGAGCCAGCTCATCATCACGGCCGTCACCAGGTGCTACTGCTGCGGCCCCTCGCTCCGCCGTGGCGGATCCCGCTTTTGCGTCTTCCTCCTCCTTCTCTCTTGCTGGTAATCAACGTTCCCTACTCCTCACGATCGTAATGCTGACGCGGTAAACGCTAATTGCTGGCTCCATCTGCGATCAAGGTTGACGTTTCTGGTGGCGGAGGCGTGCCTGCTTGCGGGATCGGTGCAGAACGCGCGGCACACGCGGTACCGGGGCTTCTACTTCATGAACGACCCGTCGTGCGAGGTGCTGCGGAAGGGCGTGTTCGCCGCCGGCGCGGCCTTCGTCGCCCTCACCGCGATCCTTTCCGTGTTCTACTACCTCTTGTACGCCAAGGGCCGGGACTCCAGCTACCGCATCGCCGAGTCGGCCATCGGGATGAACTCCTTTAGCTAGAGATTTTTCTTGCTTATTTTCCCCCTTTTTTTTTTCCTAGGAGAAAAAAGAAAACGGCGTGTTTACTACGGGGCTTGGCGTTAGTTGTCGCGTTTGTTGATTTCGTTACTGAATACATATGAGATAGCGATGATAATTTTTATTATTATTCGAAAGATAATTCATCATCAGATTGTCCACTGTTGCCGGGGAAAACGTGATGATTTATAGAGAATTGGGGGGGATAGTGAACAGTCATCGCCGCCAATTGGTGAGGACTTTACTACCAACAATCGCCTTCACATCTTGGATTACAAACTAATGTGCGGAGATCCATTCGAACAAGAAATTAGTTGTCGTGGTATTAGTATTCGAACAACCAAAGATGAGTCAGCATTAACTATAGTCAACTAACGTGAGTTTGTGACTGTTGCAAAATAATGCATTTTCGTAATTATCAAGAATAATCGGTTTGTGACCTGCTTAAAATGAACGGCGTGGATCTGTTTCCACTCGTAACAAACTCGATAGAGAGCCGTCTCTCTCGCGCTGTCATTTGTTGCCGTGGGTTTGGAGAAACAGAGAGCGGTTGAAGAAGGTCGATCCGGTGGAGCAAAAAGCCTATCCCCAGTCTCTCTAGTCTCCCTTCTCAAGAACGATCCATCCCCCTTCGCCAGTCCCCTGCAACATTCATCGCCTCCGGATCTTGCAAACGACGCTTCCCCATCAATCTATGGGTTCGAAACCATTCTCCAGGTTCGGTCTGCCTTCCTCCGATGCCTTGCAAATTCTTGATCGTACTATTCTACGGGTTCAGAATGGAATACAATTTTCGATAGGCTGGAATGATTCCTATTCCATTATTCGGTGTAAAAATTTCATTATCCGATCATGGTTGATTTCATTAGAGCATGGCTCAAGAATTCTTGATCCCATCGCATAATTTTCTTTGTTATCGATCGATCGTGTTCGACGATGTTTTTCTTATATGAATTTACTAGTGGGAAACTTTTACGGCTTGAGAGATTTTTTGTCGCTGTGTTCTGTCTCTTTTTGCCGGTAAACAGTGATCCATCTTAAAACCCTGCATTGCACTATGAACGTTGTCATCTACTCCCTTACTACCTAATTATTGTGGATTGCAGGAGCTTCGATTGCATCAAATGGTAAACTAAGATTTGGCATCACAAGATAACCTCAAGTCCAGAAGAGAGCTCCAACACGATTTACACTACTTGAAAGCATCAAAGAGCACATGAAGATTTGGCAGGCAGATACTGCCCTACTCGAGTTCCATCCATCATGGGAAATCCCAATCTTATTGGCGTGCTGGAGGCGGCTCGCTCGGTTCTAGTTCTCCTTCTCGGCTACGGCGTACTCGGTCTCTGCGATCGCGGCCTCCGCCTCCAGCACCTCCTTCTCGGTCTTCTTCCCCTTCTTGGACTTGTAGTAGACGTCCATGAAAGTCCCGATCGCCTTGTACTTCCTGCGGCAGTGGTGGTACAGCTCTCGATCGAACATCCTCCAGAAGTTGTCCTCGCTGAGCTCCGACACCGAGTACTGCGGTTGGAAACCATGGTTCTGGATCAGCCATTCCTCGAGCCTGTGCACGGCCTCGGCGCCGTCGAACTCCTCACCTCTCAGCACAGGCCCGGGGGCGTAGTAGACGCCGATGTCCGCAAACATCTGCGCGAAGCTGGTGTCTCCCTGTTTCGGATCCAGCTCGAATCCAGGTTCTGGGTATACCATGGTCTTCACCGGGAGCTTGAAGAGGCGATGTGGGCAAAGCCAGATCGGATAGACCTGAATCAAAACCCCAGCATGACATGCGTCACGGTGTGTAGTACTAGCAATTCAAGCAGGGGGAGCAGGAAGTAAAGACGGAAACCTACCTCCATTTCGCGGTGGAGGAACTCCAGGGCGTCGGCGACCTTGTGCATGGGCAGCAGCATGTCCTGTATCACATGCATGTCGTGGTAGTACTTCCTGATCGCCTCCCCCTGA